TACCTGAAGGGAGGCAGAGGCAGGAGCATCTTGCCCCGGCAGCCGTCTGGAAGGGTGTGTTGCCTCCTGTCTTGGTAGCCAGAAGGGGTGGAAATTGTAGTGGAAGGGAGACTTGGGGCCTCCACCCAGGGCTCTCTTGACTACTAAATACACTTGTATTTCTTTGCCATGCTGACTACCCACAGCAAGTTATGAATAACTGATACCATGCTGTTTCTTCCAGATCCGACCAAGCTTGTCTCCCCACAGCACTGGAAACAGCAGTCATAGTTGACAGCCTGACCCAGATGCATCCTGATGACCAAGGCCCACTCTGCCCTCACTTCAGTGGATATCATGCTATTCCCTGCCTGACTCTCGTCTCTGCTGTCCCCTCTGGACCATGCCCTGTCTGTGCCCACACCGTGGGGCCAGCTCCTCCAAGCTGCTGGCACTGTAGCTGACGACAGGTACTCCCAAGCCACACCTCCCAGCCCTGTCCATCAGCAGGAGACACGATGTCCTCTCCCCTCTGTCAGTGCACCTGCCCCAGGCCTCCACCTCAGCATGCAGAGAGGCAGAAGAGGCTGGTGGGGTGAATGGGCCACGAACCTGTCCCTGCCCCAAGTTAGGTCTTATTTCTTCTGACCCTGTTGGATAGCCTAAATGTCCATCTGATAGCTATGATGGATTTGCACTTGAAAGCAGGATTTCCTCCTCCACATCTGGAAAGAGAAGGTACCTGGGGCCTCCACATGACAGTGGTCAGCATATCAACAGGTCCATTGCAAGGGGAAGCCTGCAGAGAGTGAGGAAAGAGAGCAGTTGCCATTCTGTTCCCTGAGTGTGAATGATAGGAGCTTCCCAGAGAAGAAGGCTGGTAGTAAAATGCTAAGAAAAAAAATAATCACACTAGTAGTAACGAAAGATTTTGTTCAGACTGTTCTTATCAGATATTCGGTGCCAAATAACTTCCCAGTTCTGGCTGAAAAACCTTTTACAGAAAGACAAATATCTGGGCCCATGGCCCCTTGGCAGAACTCCATAGCTGGACGCTATGATCGGTCACTTACCTGTCCTGAATCTGAGGTCTCTCATTTTGCTGCTGAGAGTTCTGAGGATCCTGCTGAGACCACATTGTGGTTCTAGCATCAGCTCCTTGTTGATCAGAGGCTCTGAATTAATGTCCCCTGCACACAGGACCTTATTCCCTCCAGTGTCAGGGCCATGGGGGGGAGGCAGCAACACAGAGCAATCTAAAAGCTGTCAAACTTCCTGAGTGACCCAGAAAGACCCACCGTGTCTCACCAATAAACAATAGAATGCATCCTACGGGACTCCTCCTGTTGGCATGGTGTAGAGCAGACAAAGCCAAACTACCATCAGTAAGAATGGTAAATGGTGTGGCTTGGTGGAAGGGTTAAGCAATTTCTTAAAGTTAAGAGGCACCTACCCATGGCCACTAATGCCATTGCCAGACTAGGACCTTTGAGAGACAGAAATATATGTCTACAAACAGGAGGCGGAAGCACACGTACAGTAAATACATTCATAATAGCCCCAAATTAAAATACATGCAAATTCCATAGGTCATGTGGTCATTAACCTGTGGCACTATGGGGCAGTGGTGGTGGTGCTGGAACCACAAGGAAGAGTCTGTGGGGCCGTGAGGGAGCAGGTAAGTTCATTCCATGTTGTACCATCTTGCCACAGGCCCAAAAGCCATGGGATCAAGAGACCATGGACTGACACCTGTAAGACCATGAGCCCAAAGAAAATATTTCCTTGGTTAACTTGATTTTCTCAGTTTTGTCATTTTGGATGGAACTCCAATTAACATACTTGACTTCTGCTCTTCATAAAATGTCAGACTATGACATGTACAAAGCAAAAAGAAAATTAAAAATATTAGAAACTGAGCTTGAATCTGCAGCACACGACCAAGACACTGTAAGGGCTTTGCATATGGTATGCTTTTATCTGAAACCCAGCCATATCATGGACATATGGGGTGGTCTCAGGACATGAAGAGTGGTGGATGCCAAAAGATGAAGGTGGAAGTGGAGACAGAGCGTGATGAAGACGGAGGGGGGAGTGGCGTGGAGATGGAGATGCAGGTGCAGGTGGTGTGGAGGTGATGGCAATGAGGATAGGAGGAAAACATGGGACCATGCCCTGGGGCAGTTGGTCAGTGTAGATGGAAGAGAAAAGAAGAAAAACCCTCCAACAGTAGCCCTGTCCATTTGCAAAGCGGGAGATTCAGCAACCTGTCACCCGACAAACCCTATGTGAGTATCTCCCTGTTGGAAATAGAGGAGCTGCAGAGAACATGAGGGGGAGGAGGGTTGCTCTCCTCCTCCCCGAGGTCTGGTGTTAGGTGAATTGGAGCTGCATTCCTCCTCCAGGAAGTGACCTCACTGACCGTAAGGTGGGTGCGTCCCGCCTGGGTTACAGGAAAGCTCTGCTGGATGTTAGCTCTGGTAAGCCGGACCACAGGGAAGGAAAGGGCTGTGTTGGGAAACAGCAAGAAGAAATGCATCCTTCTCATCCTCTCTGGGAGCAATTACCATTACAAACTTTCTAGAAAGAGGATCTCGTGGAGCTCAGATCCCGGGTTGTCCGTCTCCTGTTAGCCTTGTACTGTTCTGAGCAGCCTAGGTAGTGACCTGCGCCTTCGCCTCCCATGCACCCTCGTTTCACTCTTAATTATGACTCATGAGGCAGCTCTAATGTGCGGTCACAACCGCTGCCTTTGATACATTATTGAAATGCAGGAGAGATAAAAGTGATATTAGGATACTGTGGCTCTATGTGAATGAGAAAACATTTTTCTTGATGTTTATCCAGATTTTCAAGTAAAAGGTCAGGATGCAGCTTAGAGATGTGAATTGTAGGAGGAGGATGCCCAGCTCCTGCTAGATTTCCTAGTGATATTATGTGGCTGCTTCTTGCTGGTGTAACCTGTAGGTCTTCATTTTTTCTCCATTTTTCTAATCATTCGCAATTGAAAGTCAAAGCTTTCAATTATCTGTGGAAGGAAATGCATCTTTGTGGGGATAAGTTTTACACAAAGAGCTTTGATCTGGTGTAACCACGTGTCATTTTATATTCACCTGTTGATCTGTTCACATTACTGACAGCTGTGACAATGTCTCCACATATCATGACAGAGAGAGAACTAGCAACACAGCAGGGGACAGTTTTCCCTTTCAGGATCTCACTGCCGGCAGCGGGGTGTCTACCTTACTGGGCTGCAGGCTGCAGGGTTTGTTTTCCCTTTGCTGAAGGTGAAAGCAAGGATGCCAGACTGCTGTGCTTAAGGGACCTGCTCTCCTGGGCCACTCTGACTCTTACTGAGGATGGTGGTGCTGCAGCCAGCAAAGACCCAGGCTGGCTCAAGTGGAGGCAAATTGTGAAGGACCTGGTAAGACACTTCCTGTGCTGTCCTAGCTTGCACATAGTGAGAAGACACTGACTGATGGTTCTTCCCTGGACAATGCCATTTTTTTTTAATTGGGGATTTAATCCAGGGCCTTTGCACTGAGCTACATTCCCAACTCTTTTATTTTTGATTTTGAGCCAGGGTCTTGCTAAGTTATCTCAGTTGGGCTTGAACTTGTGATCTTTCTGCCTCAGGCTCCCAACATTTTTGTTTTGAGCAGATGTGTAGTTTCTACGTGACTGAAAGTAAAGCCTTCACATTGCCCTTGGACAGTTGTCCATGAGTTAATCTGCACACTCACCAGCATCTTCCGCTTGGCGTGAGCTGCTTTCACTGAGGACCCGCCCGTGCTGCTGTGATGCCTGCCAAGCCCCACGTAGGTACTGTCAGCCTCCTCCACGATCCTTGGGCACTGTACCTCTTTTCCACTGGCATCTCAGCAGTGCTTGGCATGTATCTGATGTTCAGTAAAATTTGCCCAATGACTGAATGTGTGAATAGCCAAGTTGTACAGAATCAGCCACAGACTGAACCCTAGGCTTCATTCCCACTGGTGATCCAAGATGCTCACTGACCCTGCTCAGCATGTCCAAGCTCCCATGTGTTATCTTCAATGAAGAGATAATTTTTGGGTATCTCTCTTCTTCCCCAAATTTTAGGAAAGACCCCACAGGGAATGTCAGATGCAACTCCCCGCATGTGTGGCAGAATGAGGTCCTGAATTGTTCCTGGCAGCTGAGTTTGTTTCTGCACTGGATTTCCACGCAGACCACCCCAAGGTGGGAGGCAGCTGCACCTTGGAGTCTGGGTTGTCCAGCCACAGAGACCTGCTTTGGGGTAGAATTGCCTTCATTTGCACTGGAAATTTAAAGCCCAGTTTCATTTTATCCTTGGCATTCATGAATTCTCTGTTCTCTTTATAAATGATCTGGCCCGAAAACAGTAGACTGCTAGAAATCATACAATGGAGGCAGGAGACAGAGCAGGCAAGAGTCACACCACAGGGATTGAACCCAAGTGGTTGTTGGAACTGGAGCTCACAGGAGCAGCCCTGTGCAGCACACCAAGCACAAACGGGGCCACTGCCTTCCAGAGAAGGGGACTGAAACAGGATCCCAGCCCCCGGCCTAGTGAGCCCGCATGGCATCCGGGTTGCAGCCAGAGACTGCTTGTTATTCCAAGACCAAGAAGACTAGGACTTGGAAGAGGAGGGGAATCGACTGATGCCAACACCTGGGGTCCTGTGTGGGCGCCACTGGAAGCTAACTGCCATGGTCACTTTGCCCTGCCAAGCTGAGTGGGTACAAACCTCCTCCACAGGAATAAAGACACAGGGAACATCAACTGACAGTCAGAAGTTGTGATAACCAGACAGGAAAAGTAGGCCGACAAGTCCTTCACAGAATCTGTGGAAGTTGTCAGGATCTTACTGACAGGCTCTCCGCTTTCCTGTTTGTTACAAGCTCCGATGGAGTTGCTGTGGGTATTCCTGAGCCCAGCATCACTGTGGAGGAAAGAAAGCCTGTAATCCTGGACCTGAGGACACATTCCTTTAGGGTCTGGAATTCACTGGGTTTGTTTCCTAATGGTTTCATACATTTTCTTTAATGTTTAATGGAATGTGTACTTTTGATTCTCGTTTTATGGGAAAAAGGGATCTGACTGTAGCATGAACAAGTAATTTTTTAAAAAACCCAAGAGCTCAGGTGCAGGCTTGTTCCCTGAAACATGTCCCAGCCGCTCCCAAGGCTTTGGGGAGCCATGAGAACTCCCCGGTTTATGGTCTCAGAGGAAGGGTCACAGCAGTTTGCTTGTAAACAACCCACTTAAGCCCAGAAAGCTGTGTAGAGTTATGTCCTCATGTAAATTGCATGAAGTCCCAGCTGTGCAGCTGTTTGGGGGATGTGGTACATCGAGTGTCTCCTGGCATCCAATCTGCCTAGCGGCTCAGCTCTGAATCTTCTTGCCTGGACCACAGGTCTGGGTGGAAAATGAAACAGGGTTACAAGGAAATTAAACCATATATAAACCTTTCCTCGTCTATGTCTCCATGCACATTAACATAAGCCCTTCTTTTTCATTTACCTCCAATAAAGTTACCATTCATCTTTTAAAAGATAACCCATCATCTTCCCTAGGCAGGTGAAATCCATGAACATCTGGTAATTTGCTGTGAAGTCTCACATACACAAAAAAGCTGCAGTGTTCCTCTCCCACACAGAGTAAGTTTCAGGGCTGTGGGTGGGAAATGCTGAGTGACAGGATGCCCAGGAAGAGGAAGAGTGCTGTGTTTAGATTCCAGAACTCATGTCTGTGTCACTGTTGGTCTTAATCCTAAATAAGTCCCTTAACTTCTGTTGAGCACAGTTTTTGGCATTAAAATGATGAAATACGGCTATTTATCTCTAAGTACTCATGTAAATCTCTAAGTATGCTTGATTATGAAATGCTGGGAGCATAGAACCCTGGACTTATAATGTTTTTATTTGGAAGTTTTTGTCTGAATGCTGCACAGACGTCTGATTGTGGGGATGTCCTGAGGGATGTGTCGGTCACTGCTGACTCTGCTCTCCGTGCCTGCCCTATCCTTGTCCGGGGTAGAACACCTTTTCTCCACCCTCCCTGGGCCTCAGGGTTCACCTGCTGTGCAGAAGCACCACTGAGATACTTCAAAATCGCTGGGCTGCTGCAGGCAGGGCTTTGGGAAGTTCTTGGCCACCCAGGGTTATCTCTGATGACCCCTAGACTCCGGGCCTTTGATATCTGTGGTTACTTTCAGCTCTCACTCCAAGGATTCTCAGCCTGTGTTTGCTCCTAGAATGGATGCCTGTATGGTTGTGTCCTACCTCATTGTGTCTCTGTGTCACAGTCAGCTGATCTCTTCTGGCACTGGAGTTCATTTATTTTTCAGGTTCTTGGATCCCTAACTCACACCACCAACAAAAGTTCAAGTTTAACATTAAGGGCTGTATGTTAGCATTTTGGATATGTAGCAAGCTATTCAGAGCCACTAATGGCCCAAGATGTCCTGCTTGCTGGGCTCTCTTGATGTATGCCCTCCTATAGATCCCTTTACCCTCACCCTCACCCTGCAAAGGCACCTCAGTGCTAGTCTGTGTCACCAGAGTCAAAGCTCAAACATAGACAGGTGAAAGCCCCTGTCCATTTGCTCTGCTAGTACAGAGACAGGCAGCTGGCGTGGAGAGGAGCCCAGTGAGTCTGCCCCACTCCCTATCACGTTTCTGAGCAGCCTGAGATCCTCAGGGGAAACCCCATCCCTCTCCCCTTTTCTGGACTGTCTTCCATCTTGGATTCTCCCAGAGGACTTTGCAGAAACCTCCATCCAGCTCACCTGTTGGGTGGCTGTGGCCACTGGGCTCCACACCATTGGAGCTGTGGGAGCAGACACCCTGTGCCCCTGAGCTGGGCACTGAGGAGCTGCTCTGGGCCTGGGACCATGGTCACCCAGCAAGGGTCATGGAGACGGTCTGCGAGGAGCACTGGTCCTCTCGGCACAGAACACCCACGATGAGCTATAGCTGGGCTTTTCTCTATGGGCTCTAAAGTCAGAGCACCTTCTATACAAGGTGTGCAGTTTGGAGGAGGACACTGCCTGACCGTACATTCATTACCCTGTGCAGTCTCCACATCAGTGGGTCTTTCATTTGGCTAAGCAGTGGTCAGAACAGATCCCCGCAACAGTGTTTGCCTGCGTATTTCTGTGTCCAAGGGAAAGGTTTTGCTTGTCTGCCCGAGAGACTCCTTCCTTCCCATGGAGCAGATGGACCTGAGCGTCAAGTGCTGCTGTGTCACAGGCCTGAGCCCCACTGCAAGACACGGAAGTCTCAGAGTGCATTCAGGTATCCCCAAGATGGCCTGCAGCAGGCCTGGGGGCTGCTGTGTAGGCTAAGGCCACCACAGTTGGGTTCCAGCACCCACGCCCCACGCTCAGGGTTCCCAGAGGAAATAAATGGCAATATCCTGTAACACCACTGTTGCCTTAATTACTGTAGGCGGTGAATCGCTACTTACAGTAGATTCAGTGTGAAGTCCTGTAACATAAGAACGCGGAAATGAACAGTAAGAGGTAATTTATAAAACTTACCAAAATTCTTCCGTTACTGCCAGGAATAACTGAGAATATTCAGAAAGAAAAACAGGAATATTTCCTTGTGTAAATAATAGATAAAGAATGAGAAAAAGAGTAAATGAACATCATCCAGCAGTAATCCCCTTAGGGGGCAATAAAACCCAAAAAGTCCAATTTGCACAGCGAGATCCATTAGGCAGGAAGTTAGGAAGCCAGACGCTGTCCTGGGGCTGGCAGGAGGAACTTGACATTGGAGTTTGATGCCACAGATAAGACGCAGCTGAAGGAGCACGCGCCAGAGTTTCATCATCTGCACCTGGGTCAGGGTGAGAAGGGGTCTCAGACCTCTCCCAAAATTGGTGGTAGCAAAGGACACATGTGGTCATCTGGGTGTTGGGGGGACAGGCGGGGCCCAGGGGTGCATGGATGGGTACATCCATGTCACAGTGCAAGTCAACTTACCCCGGAACGTCTCCAGATCTAAGGCTGCTTATTCTCATCTTAGAGGCAGCTGCTTTCTGTGAAAGTGAATGTCTTACTGCCACCATTCTTTTTAAATTTGAACAGTAGGGTAGATGTGAAATATTACATAAATTTAAGTCATTAGTAGTGTTGCAAACCTCACACACTTCTACAAGAAGAGGTTGGGGGAATTTAAATTCGTATCTTTACTGCAATAGACTATTTCAGTACTTTTTTTTTAATCCATTACTAAGGGCTGTAGCATTAATTTAAGGGACTGTGAGTATCTGTACCCATATACACAGAAGGAAGCATTTGCAATTCCGCTATGCTACTCTTTGAATTGAACAGGGAACATATAGAAGGCTTTGTATGATTTTCCTCAAGGTAACTGAATTTTCACTGATGTTGGCAGCAGTTGGGAGGTATGCATGAGTGGGCAAGTGGTGGGCTTTGCAGGGAGTGCACACCCACATGGCTGAGACACCTTCCTGCTGCTCCCACTATCTTCACACCCCCAGACCTGCTGAGGGCTTACAGTAAGCTGGGAAGACAAGGACAGCATATATTTTCTGCACTATGTAATTGGTTAGCAATGTGCCCAATCATATAGTCACCCTCACAAACAGCTCCCTGACTTTCAACATGGCGTGGGTGAATAGGCCTAGCCCTTGGACTATGTCCACATGACAATAGTATCCTCCTTCTCCACAGAGGTCTATTCCCAAGTACAGCACTGAGTTCTGACTTATATTCACCTAATTCTGCCCTCCCCACTGTGCTTCCCTTCAAAATGCCCTGCAAGGACAGACCCATAAAATATACTCCACCTCTTTCTACATAGTAGTTTAGTTCATGAAAAAACTTCATGGGGTATCGAGTATGCTTGCAGAATAGCTGCGTGATCCATCTGATTGTGTACCTGCATTTGAGGAACTCTTAGGGACCACAATAATGGAGAGATAAGGCTGATTTGTGTTTAGCACAACAGTTGTTTTATGCAAAATGAGTATTACATATGTGGGATCAATGTAACTCCATTTACAGATAGAATTTGGAACTACCTTTAAAGAAAGTTTATGGAACTATAAAAGATATTGAACTTCCCTCACCCACCTTCTTTCACTATTTGATCCCAAAAGAATGTCAGGAAACAAAGCAAAATAAATTAACTCCAGGGAAGTGCTGGGAGGCTGGACATGGGTGGAGGGCTATCCCGGTACCAAAACCTTGAGAAAGCAGATGGGTCAGTGAACAAGTTCTGAAAAGTAAAAGCCCTGGTGGAAGCTCCATGCAGAGAGAGAGAGAGAGAGAGAGAGAGAGAGAGAGAGAGAGAGAGAGAGA